TAAGCAGTGATGATGTGAGCAGAAAATGACAAAACTCATTATGGTGTTAATGTAATATAATGATTATGTGTGTTTTGACCCTGGATTTGAAGAGCGCTATTTCTGTGCTGATGTGTCAGATGTGGCTGAATTTGGAGAATATGAACCTTTCAGTTGTTCCAGCATAATGATGTTTATAGACTTAATTCTCCGTGTTATTTAGCAGTTGTAATGGTTCATAAGGCAGGAAGGAGGCCAAACTCAACTGGGCAACAGCTGACAGTGTGAGCGTGTGTATGTGTTTATGCGTAGTGTGCTCTGCTAATAGACAGACAGATGGCGCCATCTACTGACTGAAAATCACATGAAAGAAATAATTTTAAAAAATCTAATTCAAAACCACACAATTAGAATGAGAAAAACGCTGAAACCACTATATGGTTAGTATAAAACAATAAGGAAGCCCCTTCACAGGAGAAAGAAATGCGAAATTTATATTACACTAAAGACTAGCACATATTAATTATAATAATGCAACATTAGCAGGGTAAATGCGAAGGTTCTAACAACAAAAAAAGAGATTTAAAGATTTAGTGCAGCATAGATTATATTTAGAGTATTTAAACCAGGGCTGCCCAAACTCGGTCCTGGAGGGCCGGTGCACTGCAGAGTTTAGCTCCAACTTGCCTCAACACACCTGCCTTTAAGTTTTTAGTATGCCTAGTCAGAGCTTGATTAGCTGCTTCAGGTGTGTCACACCTGCCTGGAAGTTTTTAGTATGCCTAGTGAGAGCTTGATTAGCTGCTTCAGGTGTGTTTAATTGGGGTTGGAGCTAAACTCTGCAGGACACCGGCCCTCCAGGACCGAGTTTGGGCACCCCTGATTTAAACTATCACTCGACAGAGGCTAGTAACTTAACAACTAAATGTTGATTTGTAGTTATTTACAAACATTTAGTAAAAAATTACAATCTTCTTTGATTAAAATGAGTTAACCTACTTGTCATGCTAAAAGTATGAATACGACATAGGACATGAACTGAAAACAATGCTATAGGTATCAAACTTGTTGAACCAGCTAAATGAGAAATAGGATTCATATCAACTCTATGTTGAAGATTTGAGCTATAGGCTAGACTGGTGAGCATGATTTGACCAAGTACAACATGTTCCATTGAAACAGCATTCCAATCAACCAATCAGAATTGAGAGATAACTTTTCAGGAAATGTCCGTTTTAGGTTTACAATCAGGATTAGGTGCTTCTACACCCTTGTTAATCAGCTATCATTTCCCTCATATATATATATATACTTCTTTAGCTGGTCAGGCTGGGAGACCAGCTGGCCAACCAGCTTAAACCAGCTAAAACCAGCCAACCAGTTTAGGCTGGTTTTAGTAGGGCCTTAAAACAGACACTGAATCGCCAGCCTCATATCCACGTGCTTAGTTTTTGCACGTTGTTTTAACGTTTAAGGGGGAAAATGTCAAATGGTGACGGAAACACTCGAAAGAGAAAAAGAAACAGCCATTCTTACCTGATTTTGACAACGTGAAATAATCTGAGGGTGAGCAATGCTAGAGCCTTTGCGTAAACATGTTGCTTGCTTCCTTCGTCCAATCAGTGACACTGACACCGCTAATATGCAAATGAGAACGTTAACCCGGGGTTTAGCCAAGTACCGTGTGAACGTCAGTTTACAGTCATTCTTGAGAAGTGGGACAAAACGGTGCAAAACTGAAAAAATAAAACCTTGTACTCAGACAAATGAAACTACATTTATGCATCTTATATGTACTAAGCTACTGATCTATGCTTTGATACAACCTCCCAACTTTTCTGTTTTTTAACAAAATAATTTCAACTTTATCTTTAACAGCATTCAAGATGTTTTTAACATTTCAAAACACATTCTCGTGTTAGCAGACAGATTACACTTTCACATGTGACCAACAATTCCACAACAAATATAAAATATCATAATGAAATATTATCAAAATATTCAACTGACGGAGGTGACAGAACTGACGGTGGTGACGAAAACCTGAATTTGTAATAATTTTAACTATCAAATACATTGAATCAGTCAATTACTGTATTAAAACAAACACAACAAACAGTGAGTATGTTATTGTTTATAAAGCTTTTATTCAAGAGTCACATTGAAGTATTTTGATATATCACTGGAACACAAAATCTTATGGTGGTGACATCTGACGTTGTGTTGACAAATTTGGCATTTCTTTCACAAAACCAATGGCGTTCATGAAGTAGCCATTTTGAGTTTTTTTCGGTTGATGCTATAGATGCTAATGGAACCTGCTTCAGGAGAATAAAATTATCTAAATATTTCAAATAATTGGAAGATGGTGTTGACGTATCATGACTGTGACAAAGGAAAAATTAACATTAGTATTTAAAATATTCTAAAACTAAAACTTAGCAGAGCCCGACTGACACTGATGTACTCTGCAGAGGTGAACTGTGGCGAGGGGCTCCTTTAGAGTGACAGCTGCCGCTGATATTCCCTGATTCTATTACATTTTATTGAATGTCTGACGGTGTTGACAAAAAGTGGGGACACAACTTTAAAATCTTATGAGACATGCATGTGTCATTAAAAAACAACCTTGCTTTGATAGGAGATATTATTAAGTGTTGCTTTTGATAACAAGCTCTTTTTCATCATTACAATTTTTTTAATCCATTTTATTGCATATGAATGATTGAACCCTTCTCTGTGGACACACTGTTTTAGTTGTGTTTAAGAAACACAGATTTGGTATAATAATGAGAAAATTAAACTGAAGGTGATAATTGTGTTAAATACATTCTATTATTAATCCCTCATGACATTTAAAATTGAAAATATTTTTATTTTTAAACCTAATAGCAGTTACCCTTGCTGGACCTGTTTTGTCCCATGTCTCAAGAATGATAGTCATACCCAGGATTAACTGTTAACCCGCGGGTAAACCATGGGCTGCCTGAAAGTTAAACAATATACAGCATAACCCTAGATTCCATCTGGGTTTTAGAAAGACCCAGGGTTAACAGTTTCGGGTGTGAAATGGCTATTGACTAAATGAAAAATTAAAACTGTGTACAAATATGGGCTAGCCAATATACTGTTTATTAAACCTTAAACACTAGTAATTAAATTTAAGAATATAGCACAAAATGACTCTTGCCAGCCACATTGCAATAATTTTCTCACTGTATATAAGCCTTAAACTCATTTACTGAGTGAATTCTTTACAGAGAGTGTTGTATTTACTTTCCTGTTGTTTGCCATATCTGTTTATGTCAAATCTGGACAATGTGTGCAATGAAACTGACCAGGAATTCATGCTAAACTGAAGCCCTGTGTGGAAATCACTGAGCCAAGAGCGTGACGTATCTGATGATGGGTCACTACACTTTGTGATGGAAGAGAAAAAAATCTGTTGATCTGTAAGAAGTCCGTAAAATACTGTAAAATAAAAATCAGCTGATTAACTTCAGTATGCTAAATCACCATTGATCCTTACTTGCTTTAGGGGCATTTCTTAAATCTATTACATCATGTTTTTCATGATGTCTACATCATGTTTTATGTAAAAGGCAAAAGTGAATCAAAAAATGAACAAGGATGAAAATAGAGAAGATAATTTAATTACAAAAGAGCCCAAATCACATCCAATCAAATGCAATTAAAAAGGGGGAATGAATGAAAGGCACACTTCGGGAATCATTGAAATTATGTACATTAAATATTGATACAGTGATACTTCATGCATTTCTTGACAGTATTTGACAGCATCAATAATCAGCGAATGTATTTCAAGAATACCATGTCATCAACGCTGTCATACACACCCCTTAAATGTTCAAGTTGTAAATCTGAGAATGCTGATATTTGATCCACATACCTCAAGATGGCTTGTGGTTTTCACAGCACATTAAAACTGTTACCATTACACAATGCAGAATCACACACATTGTATAAAAAAAAAAATGCAGGTTGAGACTCACAAAACCTCAGTTAACATGCTGAGCAACATTAAACGCAGAAGCACATCTACATTTGGAACCAACATTGCATGGGAATGTTTAGTCTCTAAAAACGTAATTCCTTTTATTTATGCAAAAACATCTTGAAATGGTACACTGATGAGTGGTCAGGAGTGACGCCAAGTCATAAAATACCATGTTTTGCTGTTGTAGTTTCTAAACCCTAAAAATCAAAGTGCATCTCTTACATATGCTGGTATTTGGCAGAATCACTTATTCCATAATTCACATCTTTACAGTCCCAGTATAGTAATGAAAGAAAGACACAAACAAAAGATAAGAACAAAAGCAAGGATATTTGGGAAAAAAAACATAATATCTATCATAAATTGACAGTACACCTAAAAAATGACAAATTTGGATAGTCCAAATAATATAATGGTCCCCTTAATTAGCAAACAACTTTCAGGCTTTTCAGCGTTGGTGGATTGAAAATGAGGGCCAATCTTTTACAATATTAATTATTAACACACGTCAACTCAGACAAGAGTTTCAAACCCCTAAGAATTATGCATAAAGAACTTTGGCACAAAACACAGTTTTGACCTTCTGCCACAACAAAATGTATGACCTTCCAAGAAATGTCCAAGAAGATCTATTTGGTCATATCAGTTTAAAATATATCTAGTTTAAACCTACACATTCCACTTAATCGTGGAAAAAGGCATCCAAGCATTGTGACTAGATCCTCTCATGGTTGTAGAAAATGACAACAAAATCATTCAACAACCATTTTGGTGGAAATAATGGGATTGTCTTCATCATATAATATTTCTGGCAGTATCAAACACACCCAGACACTCATCTGTTGAAAGAAGCAGAAAAGAAAAGCTGTTAAAAAGCAGGTCAGACAAGATACTATCTGAGGTATTGATTTCAAACATCACAGTCCAAAGTCTGAAGCTGAGCAGAGAACGAGCGTTATTTATGTCAATATTTGAAGATCTGGTAGGATAATCTAGTGTTCGACTACCTTCTAAAAGATTTGGCTTCATAAACAGTGGTATCGTCCTCGTCGCTTTCTAGGTGGGCCATTTCCATTGTGTCGTCATAGTTTGACAGGAGCCCGTATTTCTTTCTCTTAACACCGGTTTTCTTCAGACTGGAATGAGAGCACAAATCAGAGACAATATACACTTGAAGAAACAAACTAAAAATACAATTAATCTATTCACCTCCTTATTTATACATTTATCAGCAAATTATGACTTAAATGTCAGCCCCTAAAGTAAACACATTGTTCTTGTAATTGTAAGTAACAGTTAGGGTGACCAAATGTCCTTTTTCCCTGAAATGTTTTGGCTGGGATCTTTAAATTGGGTAAAATATCCAGGGTTTGCCTTTGTTTTCCTATTGTTTACATACTTGCTGAAGGTAATGACTCGTGGGGTGCGAGAAGGCTAGATCGATATTGAACGGTCAAAGCAATAAGCATACATATGATGTATGAGGACCATAAAGACTACATCAATAGGAAAACAAAGACAAAACCTGGACAAGTACTGTAAAAAGAGAACATATGGCCACCCTAGTAATAGTCGATTAACTCGATTGCTGACTCTGCTGGTCATGTGACACACATCGATGCCCATGACGGGGCGACCCGCTCCACGTAGAATAAAACAGCGTTTTAAACAAGGTTGATGACTCTACAATCATGTTAAAGGGGTCATATGATGCGTTTTCCATTTTTCCTTTCTCTTTGGAGTGTTACAAGCTCTTGGTGCATAAAGAAGATCTGTAAAGTTGCAAAGACTAAAGTCTCAAATCCAAAGAGATATTCTTTATAAAAGTTCAGAGTCAGCCACACCTACCTAAAACGGCTCGTTCTAACACGCCCCCACATACCTACGTCACTATGTGGGAAGATTTGCATAACGCCGCCCAAATGTTCACGCAAAGAAAGAAGGCGTAACTTTTATTCTCGCTGTAGTTTTGTTGTTGCCGCCGCCATGTCATGAAGACGCTGTGTGTTTTTAAGTGAAACTACTTTGTTTGGTCTTCCAAAAGAGGATGATATCCGCTTCGTCATGCCTGGAGTTGATCCGTGCTGGTCGCTGAGGAAATACTACAACTTTGCGCTGTGGATCGCCGGATCGGCTTTCACCATGGACGAAGCGGAGTCCAGCCCGGGGTCGTCACATGTCCTTCCGGACGCTCCTTCGTCGAAATCGCCAGCCGCGCAGTTCTCAAGCCCGCGCCTCTGCTCACTCAAGCCCTCCGAGACCGATGAGCTTTGTAACAATCAACGCGTTTCAGAAAGGCGGGTCATAGAGGAGAAACAATAATGTACAGTATGTGGAAAATAATGTGTTTTTTTCCCCTTAAACCGCATAAACATTTCATTACACCAAATACTGTTCTTTTTAGCAGCATCATATGACCCCTTTAAGTGAGTGTACGTCCCCACCTATCACTGTCTAAGTATAAGCATCATCTACAATGAACATACTGTCAAGGTAAGAACACTTTTAATACAAAACCTCACTTGACATGATTTCCAGATGACTTACCGGACAGCTCTCACTAAGAAATACAGAACTCCGATGGACGTGATCCCGATCAGAACATACAGAGCTCTGTTTATCATCGCGCCGTCCAGATCGAAGCCCGCGTTTGAGTTGGTGGTGGTGGCGGCGTTTCTCTGAGACTCTTCTGTAACGATACTGATGCTGGAAGTGCTCTTGAGAGCGGGGGGTTTAGTGGTGGTGGTAATTTTGCTCGTGTCATCGGCGAAAGAAACAGCCCACAAAGTCAAAACCAGACAATTATTCAATGATACATTTTCTGTAAAATTCTGTAAAATAAAATAAAAATCTGTATTGAATTTTATACACACACACACACACAATACAGAAATTAATAAACAATTAAAACACACACACAAAAAAAGAATGCTATAAGCGAAATGTGCACCAATGTTTTAAACACACACACACACACACACACACACACACACACACACACACACACACACACACACATTATCAGTTACTGGCTGTGATTCCACTACTAGTATCAATCATTTTAAATTATGTTATACTGCATAAAGGTCACAGTATGATAATGCAACAAACTGCACACACTTACTGAAAGAACTTGAAGTTCTTGACAAGATCACCATTGCTAGCAAAGAGCATCTTGAGGTCATCTTCAACAACCGAGGGTCTGAAACAGAGACACAGTTATACGGGAGATATTTGGGTTTTTCAATTAATAGAAAAACAAGACACTGATGTATATAAACTCACGGGATGTTAGACAGGTGCAGGGTAGATGAGGGAGGAAAGATGTTGGAGTAGTTTTTGGAGCCTGGCTTCTTGAAGCGATGGAGAGGAGAGCTGCTGTAGTCTTTGGTGAGACCCTGGTCCTCATGTCCCTCCCGTGGCATCTGGACAGTCGTGTGTTTGGACAGCGTGATGCGCAGGGGCCTGCCATAAAACTTTTGCCCGTTTAGATGGCTCATTGCTGAAATACGAATGTATACATATAGAAATAAATAAATACTAAACTACAAGTGTATCAGTGTGCATCATTCTGCACCCTAGTTTCCTGTAACATCAATCAGTATAACACAGCATGCCCTCTGGTTTCCTTTGTTTGTTCATTGTGAATCATTGTTGTAGTGGTTAAAAAAAAAAGGGGGAAAAAAAGGAGAGTACAATCTAATCATGAAATGAGACTGAAGACATTACTACACTTCCAATAAGCGAATATAGTGAGTAGCCCATTATTGCAGTGTCAATTGGCATCAGTGACATTTTTTGAAAGAAATTAATACTTTTATTCAGCAAGGATGCAAAAAAATGACAGTGAAGACTTTTTTTTTAAAAATCGTTCCAAATAAAGAAAATAAATGTTGCTTTTTTGAACTTTCTATTCAATAATCCTGAAAAAATGTAAGCAGCACAATTTTCAACATTGTTCATAAATGTTAAAAAATATTATATAATGATAATAATTATTATTATATATCATTATTATATATAGTGACACTGAAGACTTTTAAAATAAATTACATAAATGATTATAATTTTTTAATATTAATACAGAAAACAGTTGTTTTATATTGTAGTGATATTTAATAATATTGCTGTCTTACTACATTTTTAATCAAATAAATGCAGCCTTGGTAAGCATAAGAGACTTATTTTAAAGGGGTCATTTAATGCTACATGCACTTTTACAAGTTGTTTGAACTGAAATGTGTGTTGGCAGTGTGTGTACACAACCACCCTGTAATGATAAAAATCCTCCACCCAGTGGTTTTTTCTTAATCTACTAAAATCTTTCCCCCTTTCTCAAATCGAGCTGATCTCAGATGCCTGTCTGTGTGATGTCACACAGACAGGCCCCTCCCACGATAGTTTGATTGACAGTAGTGTTTCAGCACAGACTGGACTGGCGTCTTAGACCCGCCCTGAGTGAGCTGTCATCAGTCCGCCATTGTTTCACCGCCGGAGCAGATGTAGACAAGAATGACTCCTAAGCGATTGAGGTGTTCTGTTGTTGGATGTAATAATGAACAGCAGTCGCCATTTACTCCTGACATCTGAGCCGCTGAAGATGCAGTGGATTATGTATGTTTTTGAAGAGAATGTGTCCCCGAGCTACATAAATGCGTCTATGTTCGCGCGAATCATTCGTGATCCAGCTTCACCTACAGAAGAAGTTTTTTAACAAATCTTTGCATATCGCCTTTCCTAATAATGTGCTAATTAGCAAGTTTCACGATGAATGCGGATAAAGTAAACAGTCCCTCACAGAGCGGCTCGGAAGAAAGGGGCGGGGTCAACAGAGCTCATTAACATTTAAAGGAAAATGCTACAAAACAGCTTGCTCTGAAAAGAGCTGTTTTTGACAGAGTAAAAAAATTGTTTTTTACCCTACCATTGAGAAATTTTAACCAAACTATGTTACAGACTTTTCATTAAGACCCTAAATAATCATATCAACTTGTGGACAATGGGCATCCGATGACCCCTTTAAAAACATTGTAAAAATGAATACTGGCACAAACTCTTAAATGGTGGTGTATATATAAATTGTCCACTCCTTCTGCAAGCAAATTGTAATAATTTTAAGGCTGTTTACCAAGCTGAGCTTGTGTCCCATCAGACATCTGAATGAGAGCATTCTCCTTCTTATTGAACATAATTTTCACTCTCAATACATCCCCATATACACCTACAAAGAGAAACAGTATGATGTCAGATACAAATATGCAGTACGTTATGATCAGACACACCTCATCAAAACCAGCCTGAGCTATCAAACAACTTCAGTTCACAATCAAGATACTCCATTATATCACATGCTCTTCAAGGTACAAAATATATTTATATATATATATATATATATATATATATAAATAAAATTATTACTAGTGTCTAACTAGGGTTTATTCAAGCGAAAAAGGAACTTGCTTCAAGAAAAAAAAAAATCTTAGTTTAGAAAAAAAAAATTGTTAAGAGGAGAGTTCAAAAAGTTCAGAAAACTGCAACATGTGTTTATCGATCTCCTGAGGAACAGATTCAATGGACTGACTGAAATAAGAATCGAAGGATAAAAAGTTGAGCGGATGAAAATGTTTTTAATCCAAAAAAGGATGAACTTATAAAACAGCAGGAGTCTTGACTATTAACCAAGTATTTTAAACCGCTTTTCTCCACAGACATGCAATAAAAAAGGTAAAAGAGGAACAGTTTTCAAAAAGCATGCAACATTTTAAAAGGCGCCAATTTGCTTTGTTCCGTCATTAAAAAGCTGCAGCCTTCCATCTGTGTTCAAAGGAAGTGCCACAGTCCAGGGAAAGCGGCAGCTTTTCATGACGCGTCTCATCTCACCACACCAGAAAACAAGAGAGGCACTCAAAGAATCGGGCCTCACAGATGCCTTGTGAGGAAATCAAATCAAATTAAAAGACCAGAACAAACGAGTGACAAAAAAAGATGCTAAAGGATGACATACCGAAGAGAATAAAGAGGCAGTGGGGCGTAACTCTCTTTAAAGGACAGCAGAAGGGGGCAGCGGAGGAGGAAGAGACAGGTAAAGATCGGAGGCAGAGTGGAGGTTCAACATATCCGAGGCAGCGAGGCAGTTCCACGGGAAATGGCGAAAAACGATGGTTGGATCATGAAGATGGTTAATGGATTGGGAGCGGAGAGAGAGGGGCGGGAGTGGGGGGATAGAAGAGAGAGAGATTTGTGTTTGTGTATTTAAAGACATGTTGGGTGTGTGTTTGTGTGTGATTGTGGGATGATGTTGAATTGTGTAATTGTTCGTACAGATCAGAAGTGTAGAGAGACATATGGTGCGTGCAGCCAGATGGCAAAGGAGAACGAGGTTTCAAAACAAAAAAAATAGCAATGGGATGAGGGGAACGGGGAGGGAGAGAAATAGGAGGAAAAAAAGGAGGTAAAAAAACAAGGTCAGTATACATAAAGAAATACAAAATATAGTGCTAAAGTTAACAAAGAAACTTCACCAGCATAACAAGCTAATCTTTAGCAATTAGTTACTGTAGTAAACAATGACCTCATGTCAAAGTGTAAACGCACTTTCTGATGGTCTGTTTTACAAAGCAATACAAATAAAAGAACAGATTTTCTTAACAGACCAACAGAAAATGCAATTTGGCTATTTGGAGGAGATGAGTGGAATGTGAAGTAAAGCAGCAACATATTCAAATGGAAGCAACAAGAAGAATAAAGCTCAACTGAATGGCATAATTTTATGCGAAACCTGAGGATGTTAGAGGAAGAAATGACACAACGCACTGTAGAGGGGGTGAGGACACTTGAGTGAATAAAGAGGCGCAGCTTCGGTTAATGGACTCTAAGCAACGGGCTTTTTGTCCCGTGCATTGCAATTACTGAGGGACAATAGATCATATATGCACTAAATTTAGAGGAACATTCAGCAGTACTGCAGAAGTAACAACATCAGTCAATAATATACATTGTACTGTTAATGTGACTAAACTGGCTACATGCCATTGTTTTAATTTTTTAACATTTTAATATATAATGTACTTTTTCTTCAAAAATAATGTTTTTGCACAGGGGTTAAAGCAAAAAAAAATCCTGAGCCTGAACTTTTTTCCGGGGGCAGGCAGCACATGCAAAGCATGCAATGACTGTGGCAACTTTAACATTTGAAAGGATACTTTGGCAAAGTTATTGCTTTCCTTAATCAAACTGTTTTTTTTTCATGAATATATGGTTGACCTGAAGAATGAAAGCTATATCATACACTTGGAAAATTATGAGCTATATCACCACTTATCGACACTAGGGGTGTGACAATACACTTAGCTCACCAGATGAGACAAAATACAGATACTTGGTTCACTAGAATGAGAATGTTTTAATACTATTTTTAAGAAATTTTCAATGACAAAATAATTGTCTTTTAATTACAAAAAGTAAAACAATGCAATTGTATTTTGAAATATTTGAACCAATCTAGGGCTGTAACTAATGATTATTTTGGTAATAAAGTAATCTACTGATTATTTTGACAACTGAGTAATCTGATATTTTTTAGTAACAAACAGACCCAAGTGAAAACCAGGCTTTAGTATGACTATTTATATATAAACTAACGATGAGGCAATAATAATTGGCTCAAATAAAGTATCAAAACCAAGAAATTACATGATTGTATTGAACAACACTGTTAAAATACATAATGTAATATGCCTATACATAATATGAACATAACCAACTTAAGTACATTATGTATTATTATAAATACCTGCAGAGAGTGCCAATGGCCTGGTGACGTTTCACTTTACAGCGTGATTAAACGATGTTTAAATCCATT